CATTTACATTTTGTTGAAGAATACTATTTGGTAGATATGACAAAATATGAAGTGCAAACTTTTCCAAGGATTATAATTGATTGCAATATTAGTTCAATAAAAGTAAGCAAGTCTACCTTTTCAACAATCAATAATGAGTTCCCATGTCGTCTTTTTTGCGGCAAAACCGACGGTCACCGGCGGTCTTGACTAAAACCGTCGGTAACCGGTGGTTTCACATAAAACCGTCGGTTAATCGTGGTCAACCGACAGTTAAATTTTCAATCGTCGAGTAACCGCATTCAACTGACGGTTAAATTCATACCGCTGGTTAACCGCGGTCAATGGAGAGTTTCGTACAAATGATTTTCATTACTAAAAGCATTACAAAGATAATCTTAGGTATTTATTTACACATTTTTTTCTTTCATTTAGATTGCTGTGGACATCGAAATAACAGAAAATATTATTTTACATAAATTCTTTTCTTATATTTTATTTCGAACAATTAGGACGTTCAAATGAAAAATATTATTTTATAAATAATAAAGAAATATAAAACTGCAACACAAAAAAATTTGATTGTTTATTTTTGATGAATATTATTAGTTTATGTCGAGCTCTCTTTTCAATTGTCATCATCAAGAAATACCTAAAGGAAAACACTGTTACAATATATATAATTTTAGAACAATACAATTAACATGGAAGAGTAGCATAATTACAACAGGGCGAAATGAAAAAATATTACAAACATTCTTTTCGTTTCGTCATGTTGTAATTGTGTTACTCTTTCATCTTAATTGTATTGTTCTACAATCATATATATGTTGTAACAAAGTTTTCTTTTAGTTATTTCTTGATGATGACAACTGAAAGTTATCGAGAGCTCGAAATAAACTTATAATATTCATCAAAAATTAAAAAAAACTTTTTGTTGTAGTGTTATATTCCTTTATTACTTATTTAATTCTTGCTTCAGTATTTTTCAATCATATGTATTATTTTAAATAGATAATCGTCTTTTATTTTAGATCAATCTCGACTTGGAAATAAACAGTACTATTATTTTATATAACTTTTTTTCTTTTATTTAGGTCAATCAGAACACTGATATTGACAGTAAGTATTCTTTTATATAATTTTTTTCTTGTATTTTAGATTACACGACGTCGAAATACACACTATATTATTCTATATTAAATGATGTTTCTTTCGTTATTTAGGTCAATCTGGACACTCGAAACAGATTCTAAATAATCTTTTATAAATTTTTTTTCTTTTAGTTTAGATTAATCTCTATATTTAAATAAACAGTAAGTTTATTTTATATAAGTTATTTTACTTTCTTTTAGATCTGTCTTAGTGTCCAAACGAAGTCAGTGCTATTTTATATAAATTAGTTTTCTTTTATGTATAAAAAAATTATGTATGTGATGTTTGTAAATGAGAGAATACCCTTATGTGTGAATGATATTTCTTTTTTTTATTGTTGTAGTGCTTTTTTTGTATATGGTAGATGTATATAGTAACTAATAAATATTAATTGAACTAAATAAATGAAACACAGCAAAGAGCGTTTGTTAATAGGAAAGTTCGTTCTTATTCCTTTTACAACTAATACAAAGAACCATCGGTTAACCATGAAGAACCCATGGTTGACCGCGGTTAATCTCGGTGAACCGGATAATTTTCGGTTAACCGTGGTAAACCGAACGGTTAACCTCCCAGTTAACCGAACGGTTAATTGCGGTTAATTGACGGTTTTTTGCCGGTTCGAATGACATGGGTTCTTTTACATAAACTAGATTAATATTTTTCTTTTCAAACAATAATCTCATATGCAATATGTTGAAACAAAAAAAGTTGAGTTTCAGATTAAAAGTCGTTTGTTCGACATTTTTTATAATTAACATACAAAGGATAAAATAATCTAGTGAAATGGTCATAACTTTGGAAGAACAGTGCATGGAAAGAAATCCTTCTAGACATTCTTTTATTCTTAACAGACTCCATGTAATGAGCAGTGTCTCATCTCAAACGCAAGCTACTATTTGGGATGGTTTACTCGTAAGAACATTCACATCCTATCTTATTCTAGAAATAATTTTTCTTTTATCTTTTAATTTAAAATTCAAAAATATATACAAACATTAAGTTATTATTATCGATTTAAAAACAATAATTTCGTAGATTAAAATAATTAAAAATAAAACATCTCACAATCAAATCAATTCTTTTATAAATTCTTGATGAACAGTTTCAAAACTTTCTGCTGGTGATAAATTTTGTTTTGTAATAAAAATCGAATCTTCCGATGATACTAAATGTTCAGCTTGTCGTGCTCGATATTCAAAATTTTGATGTACAGCATGTATAGATGCTTGTCGGTTTAATATATCGAAACCAATATAAGCTATTTCAAGCATACTAAGAACAACATAAGTAAAAAGATTTTCTCCACGTATTAAACGACTATCTTCATTACACTGTTTTATATTTATATAATCACGTTCATAAATAATAAACATTAAAAGTGTATGTAATGCAAGTGTTAATAAAACTAATAATTGTATTGCACCATACCATGTTATACCTAAATCATTTTGTACTCTAGCATTTTCCCATTTACGAAGTATAATAAGAAATAAAATAAAATAACAAGTAACAATTATTGTTATAAATATTAAATGTATAACTTTAAGAAAACGTAATTGTTTATGTTCATAAATACAATGATTTATTGTTAGAAAACATGAATAAATTTCGGATGATTGATTATAAAGAATTGGTTTTTGATTATATGAATTATAAATATGAATTTCAGGAGCGTTTACATGAATACTATTAAAAACTAAAGCACCAGCTTCAACACAAAAAAGTACTACAATAAATTTAGGATCCATTGTCTTCTGAGGAATCGTTGGAAGACTATGATAACTTTGTTTTATATATGATAATGGTCTCTGAAGTTCCATTGATTATAATCTGAAATAAATTCATTTCAATAGATTAAATCTATTAATAATTTAATTTTTCAAACTTGTATTTATCACTTTCTTATGACTTACTGTTTCAATTGCATTAAATGCAGGATAGTAATGTCAGGTTCCGCGCGAGCGGGGGGTTTAGGGGGGTGTACACCCCCCAAAAATAAAAATTTTTCAGTTTTATCCGGCCACAAGAGCAGATTTTGTCCACATTTTATGATTTTTCTGAAAATATTTTCTTACAACCCCCTAATATTTGATCCTTCGCGCGGGCCCTGAGTAATGTTGTCAATGTATGAGAAAGCTACTAATGTAATTACGTAGTTTCTATCTGATGAGGTGTTACAAATAAGATTTATAATAAATATATATGATCTTTTATTGCTCTATTACTTCTTATCTAAGATGCTCACATTTTATTGAAAGTGTAGACGATAAAGTTGTTCTTATTAACAGCACTGGCGTTTGATTGTTTTTAAGTTTTTTTTTTCGGATATTTATTTGATGTGAAGCTATTCTTTTCGAATATTTATACCTTTTATGTGTCCAAAGAATATATAACTTCTTGACTGCTATTGTTGACAATAAAACTACTTCAGATAAATTGAAAGTCGAATTTATGATATTGATGTTTTATTGAAAACAACAAAAGAGAAATTTAAGAATAAAAATTTTCATAACCTATCAATATTGAAATTATACAAAAAGTTATTTATAGCATAGAAATATTAACGACTTTTGTTTTTAGATTTAACATTTTTGTAATAATCATGCGCTTGGCTATTTATAAAATATTAATGTCTGCCATATTCACTGTTAATTATTTCATTTCAATTAACCTGAAAGATAAATTATAAACTACATTCGATGCATTCAATTTATCACTAACTCAAATATTGCATCATTATATTCGTCGATAGATACTCAGTTGTTAGCAGCTTCTGAATTTTGAGCATCAAAATATAGTAAATAGTCAGATAAAAGAAAGAAGTTTTGAACACCAATTTATTCGAAAAAAGCAAATAATTATTTTACAAATTCTATATGTTTAAGTTCGATTGATTTGTTGGTGAAGCCAATAATAATTCAATAGTGCTTTTTCTTTTTTCTTTTTTCTTTCTTTTTCTTTTTAGTAAATATGTGTTCGTTCGACAGGTACAAACAATATGAAAACGAAAGAGAAAAAGTTGTTTGTTGTAAGCACATCCATCATCATAACATTGGTAATTCTCAATACTTCTTGATTTACTATTAATATTCTCTAGAATTTTAATCATACGTCTCAATGTGTTCATAATAATTTCTTTTTCATACACTGTTTCATATTAATTCCTATAGTTCTTCTGTATATGAAACTACAATCAATAGTCATGAATATGTATCAATATTTCTTCTTTTAATGAAATTATAATAGTTTATTTAATTATATTTTCAATATGTAGTCAAAGAAGTTTTGAACAATATCAAACATTTTCAATGTTCAATTGATTTATTATTTTCTTATCAATCAACATTTACATCGATTAGTATCATTGCAAATAACATTTACTGAAGAGTCGATTGAAATATTTAAATCAAATGGTAATTATATCATTGAAAAAGTGGTAAAATAATTTAAGGTATTCATGATGTTATTAATACTATTGTTAAAATTTTACAAAATAATTCTGTAGAAAAGTAATAATCAAAACGTTCGTTTCTATGTATAGTAATATAAGAATAATTTTTCATTTTCTTTTAATCGAAATCGGCTTTTACACAACAGATAATACCGATTGAATAGAAATATTAGTAAAAAAACAAAAGAATAAATTACTCAAAGTGACCATTCTTTTTTTTTTCCAAAGTGTTGATTTTAACGAAAAACAGATGACATATCTCTTATATCTAATGATGTCTTTTATTTTATTTGCAATTAAATAGGATGACTAGCTGATTAGAAAAAAAAAACGAATGATTATCATACAAAATTTAAAAAAAAAACGAAGAACTTTTTAAAGGTCTGTTTTTATTAGTTTAACTTTTTCTAGATTAGTGACCAGCGGTTTGTTCTGCCGCTCTAGCTGCCATTGCTTGAGGCATCATAACAAAATGTTTATAGAGTGATTGAATATATGTAAACACACATTTCCAATCAGGTTTATCACCCATTTCAATCATATCATTAACTTCAAGTAATGGTGCACATCCATTATTTCTATTACAAAAAAATTCTTGTTTTTTGATTGTTTTTTTATGTATAATACAACTTACTCAGCTGCTTTGAAAGCTATTTCAAAATTTTTTCTTCTATCTTTTGGATTAAGTGAATCATAATCAATTGAATTAGGTAGATAATGATGTATAAGAGCGCAAAAAGCCATGCCATCAGCCCATGATGATGAAAAATTTGTTACATTAACATGCTTTACAAAATATGATTAAAAAAAAATTGATTATATGTATATATATTAAATGGAAACGTACTTTATAACCTTTAGTACTTTGTTGACACCATACCAGAAGACGATCTTTTATACTTGATGGATTTGTTGGTGCGCCAGTACCTTGCTCACTAAATATTAATTATTCATATAAAGTTTTGTTTATAAGCTTTGATTTTATTTTTGAATACCTGCTAACTTTTCCTGTTCCACCAGCAGCAATATCTTTTTGTTGAAACATAGCAAAAGCTGCTTTTGAACTACTAGCAGCAGCAGCACCCCCGCGACCTCCTAAAATATACAATCTTATATCTACTTACGATAAATGTATCTTCTTCATACCTCGAACTAAATTGAATGAAACAAAAAAAAACACAAAAATATAAATAATTTATTTTAATTATCTTACTGACCGTTTCTTCCGCTCATGATCGTTTGTATTTAAACTAAAATCAAAAAATTTATTAAAAAAAAAGAATTTCTATTGATCTAAATCGATGTACTCGAACATGCAACCATGCACTTTGTATATGTGTTGAGATGTGAAACGAACACGTGCAAAATCGATTTGTTTTGATTTTTTTCATCTTTTCTATGCATTGGAACTCACTCATTCTTTTTTATATGTTCTGCATACTATGTAAGAAAAGAAAGAGCGACACGGATAATTTGTTCTACATCTAAGCAAATTATGAATATTGGATCATTGAATGAAACAAAAAAGGAAAATTCATCCTGGAAGATGTTTATTTTAGGAATAATGAAAGTTGCATGTAGGATATCCATATGGAATATACTGTCATCTCAGCAATCGTAACACTAATGGTGTGATACTTTCTCTTTTTTTATAACAAGACAAGGTCATCGATATGATAAGAAATTATCAATCGTTTTGAATTCGTTTTTAAAATCAGTTACCTACCAAAAATCTTATCAATAATAAAAATTTATTATTAGTATTATTTTGATTTAGCCGAGAGAAGTATATTTCAAATTGTACTAAGTAATACCAAGGAATAAATACACCGAACGAATTGTATATCTATTTTGCTACTAAAAAAAGTGACAACACTTGACAATCTTCGTCACAAGTTGTCGTTATTTTTTTTGTGCTTACGACAATGATCTAAACAAACTTATGATATCGAACAAATGTTGGCAAGAGGAAAAAAATGCAGAAGTATGTGCCTTATTTCCTCTGCCTTTTCTAGTTATATCAACGAGAAAACAACAAAATAGTACATATAAAAAGGAATGATATGGACAAAAAAAGATTGTACGTTCTTCTTCTCGACGATGATATTAACCAAAGGAAAAGAAAAAAATCCACACATTATTCATCCTTCTATATATCCATGCTGAAGAAAACCTACCAGCAAGGACAGCAAACAGCATGTCTATATATTTCTAAATAAGGAAATCCATACATATATATACATATATATAAGCATCTGCATCGTTGTTGGAATGCTCGATAATGGATCTAGTGATTACGCAAAATCAACGCCACCATTCTGTATTTTTCTCTCATACGAATGTCAATTTTTGACTAACGATTGATTATTCTCATTCATCATAGATAAATATTAATATAGATGATGATTTATTTAGTCGACACAAAAAAAAAAAAGAAATGATATTCAATAAATCTTCACACATACAACCCACTGTTCATTTATGGAGAAAAACTGTCATGATATAAATGAGAAAAAAAACCTATATATATATATATGTACGAATAGTACATCAAATTTTGTTGTTAATCTTTTATTTTTTATAAATTCCCAATTTATTGCTTGGTTAGTAAATATATATATATACATATTAATGCGCAGAAAAGTATGATCAAATGCTTGAAGAAACAAGTTTTTGAAAGAATGATGATACAGGTTAAAAATTAAACATAAAAGAAATTATTATAATGATAGTCATGATAAAAGGAGCAAAAAAAAACAAGAAATAACTGGGGTTAATTCATTAACTGTAAAATGAAAATAATATTGTACTAGATCGATTGCGAGAAAAAAAAGATCCTGCCAAATATGTTTATTAGTCTCGGATTGCCTAGTTTAATGTACTTCTGGTCCTGGTGGATCTTGATTGCCACGATGCGGTCCCTACAATAAAGAAAGATGAATTTATAAAAACAATATATATTTGAGATATAGACATGTAAGCCGTCAACAATCATTGTATTTGCATACACGTCTATTGAAGATTTTATTTACTTGATTATTTGGTTTGCTTGGATGATCACGATTGTTTCGAAGTGTACGTGGGCGAAATATGTAAAGTAAAAACGCCAAAGCAAGCCATATAGCTATAATTAAATACATATTCGACATTCCTGTATTACCACCGGTATTCGGTTGACCGGGTACTAAAAATTTATCAGAAACAAATTTGTTAAACTAAAAATAAAAACAATTAAGGCTTTTTATTCTTACATGGACCAGTAAAACATTCAGTATCAGTACATGTTGTTTGTGCATTGCGAAGCATATTAGTTAAACGATTCATAGCATGTTCATGATTCATATGAAGCATATTCTAATTCATATAAGATTGAAAAATATTTATTTTTAAAAATCATCTTACAATGCATTCACATGGATCGAAACCACCGCTTCCACCGCTTGGATTACCACCAGCACCATCCATTATCTATTATATAAATATTAAAACTGTTTTATTTTATGACATATATATACGTACTAAACTATTTGTGTAAAAAAAAAAAGGAAAAATATAAGTGTATCTTTTTTGTCGATATGAGAATAAGGCGAAGTGGAATGAAAAAAAAAGAGTTTGAAGTGAATAATATAACTACTGTTGTTGTTTCATAATATAAAATAATCTAAAATAAAAAAATAAAAGGAGAAAAGTAATCATACTTTCTTTATCATATTATTGTTTAATACTATTTTAAGATATGTATCTTCAATTTATTACTCGTTGTTTGTATCAAACGTAAATCATCTCATATATTGATGAAAAATAAATATTATGTTTGATAAAATGACAGTCGCCAATCATTGATAATGACGAAATCTATTCTTTTGGTTAAGTGAGAGCCTATTGACGGATTTGTCAAATAGATAGCGCCACGTATCAGATAATACTGGACGTCTTATAAGGGAAAAAATCAATTCAAAAGAAGCGTGGTTTTTAATTTTAAAATTGTTTTTTGTGTTGTATGAAGTAAGACAATGCGCGAGTATATAAACAAAAAATCTCCTGCATAATTGAAGAGTGATTATTTTCTATTGTTAGGATTTCGTTCGTTCTGGTGAATCACAGATAAAATAACTAGCATTTGTTTTGATCGAGAAAAAGTATATGTTGTCAGGTAAAAATCAAACTTGTTAATGTAATGTCACTGCAAACTGATATCGAGCATTATAGTAGATCACGACGAGCGTTTTGCTGAAATATTCAATGACGTATAATACAAAATCATTTTCACCGGATCCCGGTAGCATAAATAAACCAAAAGAAATAATATTCTTCTAGATGTCTTCTTGGGTTTTAAATTATAGATTAATTCAATGCAAGTATACTGGATGCAATCGCTGATGATTCAAATATTCTATCATACTAGATAATAATAAGAACAATAAAAGGTAATAAGATTCTTTTTGATTGACGTCAAGAAACCTAATGATAAATAGCCTTGATCATACGTAGGATGGATATTATTTTGCACATATGTCAATGATTTTGTTTGACACAAAAATAAAGGTATGCATTCGTATCAATATCGAACTTTGCACTTGAACAGCAAGTTCAAATCAGATTAATATCAATGATAAAATGGCTAAAAAATATATGGGTTTATATCAATTATTCTAAGGTTGAGATCTTGTTGAACAAATGACAAACCTAATTCTGACTGCTCATTTTCTTGTGATCGACTGTCATTATTGATGAATCACCTTCTTCAAATAGTAGACGGTTTCTAAAATAAACTTTCACTCGACTGGACATCGAGAGTAATGAAAAGTCATAGCTTTGTTACGTAGGGTTTGTGGATGTAAGTTTGTCATGCAGATCATTTCTAAGCGAAGATAGAATGTATTAGAATGATTTCAAATCTATGACAACATGCTTCTATTGCAGTTCACTATTTCGAATAATTTATCTCCAATTCATGTTTATAATCAGTAGAGTACAAAATTTCTGCCACTGTTCGATATAGAAACATTTTTCTTAGATCGAAATCGCATTTAAAGAAGTCAAATTATTATTGAACATTACACAATTTAAGAATTTTCAACAGAATAAGATGCTATAAACATCTATATAGATAAAATCAATAGGAAATCGATGTTCTTCGTCCTGAGCTTTTCCATAACAATAGAAGTTCTAATTTGTTATTATAATCATTTTGATAAAATTAAATGTTCATACATTCATTAATACATAAATTAAACTCATTTTTATGAAAAAGCAGTTATTTTGTTTGTAACCAAGTAACTAAATACTTCTGTCTGCACTCAAAACTTTAGTGCTATAAACGGTTAGATAAATTAAAAGAAAAGAGATTGGTAATAAAGAAGACTAAGGACAATAATGAATAAATTAGGGAAAACATATACGGATTTCGAATTGTTGAAATTACAAGTATATGAATCACCGCAAAAAAAAATCAATATTGGTTTACGTAAACATCTTTTGTTACAGAGCTGAGCGAAGTACTCGAAGTTCTAGAAAAGCATGCATCACATCAAAATAATGTTTGATAAAACTATAGCTTGTGTTTTCCCAGAATAAAATGAATAGCGTATTTCTTCATTTTGTTTTATACATATATGTATACCAATAAATATATAAATACTATACCACAGTATAACAATAGACGTATTCCTTTTTTTAGTTAGTATCTTTCACTAGTAAACCTGATAACAAAATGCTACAAGGAAAATATACAAGATAGATGTGTGTGTGCAGGACAACGTTTTCTATTCCGTCCTGTCCCAGCTCTGGTATGAATTTCAGATAGTTTTGATAACTTTATTAAAAGTACTCTTCGTATTTCATAAGAGCTAAGCTCGACGAATCCTAGAGCCTTTGTACGTAATCTAAATGAAAAATAATTCTATTTTAAATAATTAAATTTACAATGTAAAACAAATGATCTAAATATGCTTGCTAGAAAATTATCAATATCGTGGCTACCAGAAAAAACATTTTATGATCTACTTTATTATTCTTATTTGAGGATTGTTTCAGCACTTTATTTGTGTTCGTCAATGCTTAAAAAAATTCTTATCCCTCCTCTTCGATTCTAATGATCTCGAGATAAACTTTGTATCGGTAAGATCACATGATGATAAGAGAGAGAAACAATTGCAAAAAAAGTAAGGCATGTCATTTATTTTGGTCAGAGAGATTATATGTAAGACAAACAACATTACTGAAAAGTTTGATAAATATTTAAATGATTTGCATTAAAAACAAATATTTTAGACAATGTGAAATATATAAAAACTAAAGTTTGTTATGATTCAATCATATTGTTAAGAGATTAAACTATTGTCGATCATTATACATATACCTTGAAAAAAAAACCCATTATACAAAATAAGAATTTATAAACTTTTAACTTGATAGAGACAATAACAAATTAATATTTTCTGTCCTTTGTTTCTTGATAACTGAAATACGTTCTTCATCTTCTTTATTCATAGAATCAGTATTTGTTTCTTGTGTTATTGTCGCAAAATATTTTGCTTGACAAACTGTTGATCGATTTCGTTTAATTAGAAGACTTGTATTCGATGTAAGAATAGTCTGAGACGATCGTGTTTGATAACGATTAATATTAGCTATTAAAATTAAATCAAGTTCAAAAGCATTGCCTGTATTTGTTGATTTAGTTGATTGTTGAGAAGAATTATTCATAGAATCAAATATATTCTCATCAATATACAAACGAGATTCATCTTCATCATATTTCTGTATATCTTGCTCATCAACACTGATAACCATCAAACTATCAGTATCTGTCATAATAAAGTGAAGAAACGCGCCTGTAAATATTCGAGAATTTATTTCTTTAAAAGATAGAAAAATAAATATTCAAAAAAAGAAAAATGCCAGATAGTTTATTCTCGATTGAGTGGACGTACAACATGAAATTTCCAAAATTTAGGATGTGAATATTCTGTTGAATTTTCAATATTATTCGAAAAAAGTACACCTTCATCCAATGTAATATAATAAGAATCACCTTCTGTCCAGACATGGCCTGTTGTACGAAATATAATTTGAGGTGGAGAATTATAATAAAGTATTAAAGGTGATTGTGAACAATCAAGTTCGTATTCACTTGCTGCTGTATGTGTATTAAAAAAACGAATGTATGCACGAAAATTTGGTCTATTCACTGGTGCATTTGCTAAAAAAGAAAAACAAAAATAGATTAAATTACTGAATTGAAACTTATGCAGAACATACTTTTAACAACCCAATAATCATCATCTTTATCAATTATACCATGAACATGTTTTTCTATTATCCAATGACCATGTATTCCAGTGCAAATAAATGCTAAGAAAAGAAACATATTCATAGCGCCCACCATTTCTCAAAGATTGACCAAGTATTAAGAAAAAAATTAATGCGTAAAAAAACAGTTGAGTCAAATGAAATTTTTTTTTCGAATTTATACGTATATTGATCAAGCAAAATGGTGAGTAAATATTATTTTAAATTTTTTTCTTCATTATTTTAATGCAAATATGTTGTTCATTTAATCGAATGCATTTATTATGCAAGCATGAAATGCAAAACAATTCTTTGAAACAATCAAGATTTTTGTGCACTATAGTTTGAAAACTATTTAGAAACATTGATCCTATGAATTTAGTTTCAACTACATAACACACTCATTAAAAGTGAAAAATATGAAGTAACAAATCTTTTCTTTTTTTTTGAATCGTACACGAAATTTAAATATTTTTTTTTTATTATTTTTCTTAAAAAAACAAACTTTATATTTATTCATCTATTTTTTCAAAAACAACAAACTCAAGTACATCATGAACAAGAGCTGGATAATGTTTTTCGAGAAGTTTCCATTGTGCAGATAAAAGAACTTCTCGTGAATGTAATTGAATAAAACGAAGTATGATTTGTTTAAAATTTTTTACTTGTGATGTATAATCAGTGGAATGAAACTTGGCATATACATCAGTAAGAGCTTGATGAAGACAAATTAATAATAAAGCAGCTGTATTAATATTTATATTGTGTGCATTACACATATCTTGTAAACAAAGAAGAGTAAGAACATCAATACCATATTTAATAGCACCTTGAAATATTAAACGAGTGGTATCAAATGATGTATTAGCTGCTGTGATTGTTGTTGTGGTTGTTGTTGCTGATGATCGACGACGTTTTTTATCTGTTAGTGGTGATGGACTTTGATTTGATGAATTCAATGATGTATATTGATTTGTATAAAGAAAAAAAAATATTTTATCAAGAATATTTGATAGCGGTGTTTCATTATCATCCAATAAATTTAATTCAGATTCGTTTGATGTAGCAAAATATTGATTAAAATAAATCGAACGTGTTGAAAGAATACTTTTATGTAAATTCCATTGTCGATCTCGACAGCGTATTGTAACGTCTGAATGAAGACCAGATCGAAATAAATTTGTAAGAAATATAAAATTATCTGGTACTTCAGTTGAGGCTGTTGTTGTACTAGGACTTGGTAAAGTTGATGCATGATTGGAATTAGGATTAAATCGATCTAATGAACGAAGACGTGATTGTGATGCAAAACGAATTTGTTTATTTTGAAATAAACGTGGTGAACGATATAAATTTTCTTGAATATTTGGAAATGTTTTTAATTCATTTGATGATTGAAAACGAATTGGTGAATGAATCATTTGGTCAGGTGAAACACGGTTTTGTTGATTACGAGAAATAATCGGTGGAAATATATGATTTCCCTATGAAATATAAAAATAAAAAAGGTGTAGAATGAAAATTTGTTTATTTGAATTAATTTATTACTCTTGGTTCATCTGAAAATGGATCTCCCCATGATGGCATTTGATTTTCACCTGTAGTTGCTACTGTATTTTCACGCGTAACACCATGTTGTTCTGGACTTCTCATTTTATTATTCATTTTCAGTACAGATGATATTCGTTTAGGTTCAGTTTTCATAACAGATGATACACGTTGATCTCTAGATGATTTTATTCCATGTGTTGTTGATCCTTTATTTTGAATATTTCCATTACTATTTAATGAAATCATTGTTGGTTCAACAACACGTTTAATATTTTTAGGAACACTCGAACGTTGTAATGGTTGTACTATTTGAATTGAAAATAGAAGATAATCAATTGTAAAAAAACGTCCATTTGTTTCATTAAAATCATGTCGATAACTGTAAACATTCGTAGATAATTCATCAAGACTAAAAAATTCCATTGTATAATTATCAGCAAGATCTTCAAATGATTGTGTATAACGTCGAAGAACATTATGTTCATTTTTGCATATCATTTCAACTTTACCATAATTTGCATGAATAAAATCCGAACATTTTATTGTTAAATAGAATGGAGTTTGTTTATTGTTTGATGATGTACCTGGACATTTGATTAATAATCGCCATTTTTTACTTCGTACACCTTCAATTATTTTAACATGAGTAAATTGAAAACGATCAGATACTAAACGTCGATCATTACCAACTAAAATCAAAGAAATCGATAAGAAAAATTATTACACACAAGGTGATAGAAAAAAAAAATTTAACAGCAATGTATTTTTTTTTCCATAATCTGAAGCACTTTGCTTAAAGTCAAATAGTGATTTTCTTATCCAATGAAATTTTCTATCTAATGTATTCTATAGCAAGATTCCATATATTAGTAATGATGGCAAAGTTTATAAAAAAGAAACAACGAGATATGGTAGTCTTAAGATCTGTGAACAGTTTATCGGCAGAGGTAGAAACTGGCCTGACGAGTTGTCATACTATTACATCTTTGGTGTGGTCAACTCTCAACAAAGTTTCATCAAACATTCTCTATGAGATAATAAGAGCAAAAAAAATAAATCAGACACACCGACAATGACCTATCTACCGATTCCATCTCTGTTTTTCTGAGCTATTTTGTAACAACCATTTTCTTGAGAGAAAATTGAACAGTTGCTGCATTCTCTATGACTTAAGTCTTAAAAAGTTAATCCGAAAAACGGCGTTTCTTGTCGACTTTGTGATACTTTTAATTTTTTTTAAGAGAAGATTGTAGAAAATGCGGCGATCTCTCATTTTGCTATTTTTAAAATGGTATTGTTGACAAATAGATCTAATAGCTGAAAACTAATCTGCTCGCTTTTTCTAGAAACTTTACCATCACAGTGCACGTATAAAATCTAAAAGTCATTAAAATTTTTTCATCGTCTTAGATTTTCGATATTGTATTTTCAGAAAGGATGAAAATTGGTTTTTATTATCATAAGAATTACTTGGTGGTCGTGTTTGATTAATTTGTTCGATAATATGAAGAAATTTTGTTAATTTCCAATCAACTGTAAAACGTCTTGAAAAATCAAATGCTTTTGTTTTTGGTTGAATTTCAATTTCATTTATAAATCGAACATAAGCAACAATAGTACAATCATCTGTATTAAATGGATTTCCTTGTTTGGTTTTTGAAATAACATCTTCATAAAGATCACCTTCAATATCCAAAAAAACTTTTGGTGATATATGATCATTAATAAATGATGATATAGGTTCGCCTTTAGCTAAAAAGAATGCATGATCATAAAAAAGTGATTCTTTTATCACTTGTCCACCATGTGTAGTTATAAATATTAGTTTAATATCAGCACGAAGACATCGATCACGAGGTGCTAATAATGCAAGACCAATTCGGATACGTGGTGGATGTGATTGATGTTCAAGATATATTTGCCAATGTGATTCAAATGATTCATCATAAGGAAAAATTATACTTTCAAGTTCATTTTCTGTACTAGTAGAATGTAAACGTCGTAGTAGTTGTACTGGTACAAACCAATCGTGACTAACTACGATAAAACGTTCTTCAACGGGACCTCGTGGAAGAAGGACATGTCGCTAAAATAAAATACACAAAAACAAAAACACAACAGTCATATTTAAAAAAAAGTAAACTTTTCACTTTTACTTTTTTCAACGGATCTTGCACAGTAATATTGCCATTTATAGACATATCCTACTTTGTATTCTATGAATCGATAGATTGAAAATGCACATGAGAAAGTTGTCAATTTTCATTTTTTTTTTCACTGTATTCATACGATCATGCTAATACCATTTAGTCGACAACCACAACAAGTTGTATGTAAACAATCAGCATCAAAACGTTGTAACGATGGTAAAAAAAAATCATTTTCGAACATTGAAATGTTATATTAACAATTTAAAAAGTAAACGATAAAAACACTACATCTGATTTGAATAATATTATCACCTATGTGTTTTGTTTGAATAGATTATATTGATATACGAAGAAAATATTAATAAAATATTTCTATTCAATATTCTAAAAACAAAATGAAAAAGGATGAAATATGTATCTCAAAAAGTACGCTATTGATAATTTGTTCAGTTTCAGTAATCATTCGTTTATATAATGATGCGATAAGATTATAATTATTTGTATAAATTCGTTGATTAACAATCTTATTACTATGATTGATATTTCAATAAATAGTATTCAATATTGTTGATGAAATGACCCAACCTCTGAGTATTTTTTATTCTTTTATAATTAATTCTTAAACAACATAATTGAAAAGCGTCACGGCAGTAGAGCATGAGCATGACAAACAAACCCTATGTTATAGATATGCAGACTACAAAAAAGAGCGAGTAATTTTCTTGCTCTTTAGTCTATTTATCCAACAGCTAGAAAGAACATCTGGCCTTTTCATATGTATACAAATAACTAAAGAGAAAATATACGATTTCATTGTTATTA